TTGTAGCAGAGGGACCTCTGTTATACAAGCTTGAGCAACAAGAATAGCAGAAATGTCAAAGGAATCTTACTGAAGCAAGAAAGCATTGTTTGCCTGCTTCACTCATAAATTTGCATCTACATTCAGATGCAAGATTATATACATCAGGTTGTATACTTATTTCAAGAAATGCTAGTTGCTCTGATTTCCCTAGGGAAATCTAATGATGGAAAAGTTTATTTTCTTTCACGTTGTAGCTGGAGCAAATAAGAATCATTGTAAATATCCGTTCTTTGTTCACCGAGATCTTAGAATGACAGCTGCACAACTCACCCCATCTGTGTATTTTTGCAGAATGCACAGGATTGTTGGGGGTTCGTTTTAAACTTTTTTTTCAGGCTCCATTTTAGATTTTTGTATTCTTCTATTCCTCTGAATGCAGAGAAATAGGAATGGGCCTGTTTCTTAAGAGATTAATGAGGCATTGTCCTGGCTACACATTGCCACTGAGTAAAGAATATCTGGCAGCTCCTTAGTTGGTGGACACCAGGTAAGCCCTTTCACATCAGTAAAACTGTGACGCTTTAGGCTATCTAAACACTCTATTCAGAGAGTTAACATGGATCATCCCTGACTATTGCACACAGCTATGCAAAAATCTCATTTACAAATTAAACTTCTGCATTCAACTTCCTTTCTCCATCTGTCCTCTGCTACTTAAAACACTTCATCTGTCCTCCTTTCTTTCAAAAGTCGTTGGCAAATACCAGAGGTAAGCAATTATCATTTACACCTAACATCACAGCAGCCTAATAGCAAAGAGCTTGCAGGTTTGCTCTGACAACCAAATACAAATGTCATATGTGGAGAACACAAAGATAGAGGATCAGAGTCTCATCTGCTCTGCAACCTAGTGCATGAAATATAAATAGATCAAAATGTCTCTTTGATACTGCTCATTTCTCATTCACTCAAGCAGACTCCTTAGGAAATCTCATCCCTTACCACAGCATCAAACAGTAGCACTATTCATAAGGCAAGACCATACAAAAATATCCTGCTGTGTCCAACACCACATAAAATTCTGCTACTCCAGTGCAGGTGGGTTGAGCTAGTAGTTCTTCATGCCCTGCTCCCTCCCAGTCCATTTTAGGATCCCAGTGGTGCTCCATGCCTCCTGCAATATTTCCAATGTCTTCCTCCAAACCACCCATCCCAATAACAGCAGCACATCCTCCCACCTACATCCTTCCCCAACTTGTAACTGCCACATCCTTTCCTCTTTCTTCTGCTTTTAGGAAGCAGAACAAGAGGTGCTCCTGTTGCATGGGAAATTTGTCTTTCCAGTCCTTGCAGGTCTAAAGACTACTGCCAACCTATCATCAGGACAGGGTGCACTACAGGAGATAACAGCAAGTGGAGATCCAAATTATTCTTGGTTAAAAAAGGCACGTCCATGTGGCCCGTATGCTTATAATGCTCTAGGTGTCTTCAAGTAGATCTTAAGGGCATGATTTCAGAGCAGGAGGCAACAGGAATACAGTATGGGCAGAGCACCTGGAGAACCAGATGACGTTCACGTCATCTTTATTACTGTCTGTGGTCATACTTAACGTCCCAGACCTTCTCTCACACTATATCGAGCAGAGGAAAAGGGGGAGGTCAGCAAAACCTGCTACTCACTCAGAGATACCCAGTGATATTCTGCTCAGTGGAGCAATGTTTGATCTCATATATGTAGGTTATAACTTGAGTATCTGCCATCCCACCACAATAGCACCCCTGGGTACTCCTCCAACTTGGTTTATTCCACTTCCTTTTGTTTTTGTCCATGCCAAGCCTCACTTAATCAGACTATTGCATACAGACTACTGAAACATTCAAGTGTCACAACATCCTGGCTTTTACTTCTTGCTTCCATGTTAGTACTCCATGATGGACTCCTGTCCATCCCAGTTCCTTAAGCTCATTTAGCACTTGCCTCTTTATTGGTTTAGTGCTGGGGCTGGCCAAATATCAGGAGGTGAGGGCAAATTAAGAGAATCAAATACAATATCCAGTGAATAGTGCAACAGAATATACTATCCATACAATCAAATAGCCTCCATCAGCCCATCTTAAACACCTGTGCAGCCAGACTTCAGCTTCCCTGTCTGTGTACTATCAAAGCTCCCATTTCCAAATGGAAGAAAAAGTTAGGAAAAGTTAACTAAACCAAACACTGCACAAGAAGATAAGGTAGTGACATCACACATGAACAAGACAACTTATTCCATGAGTTGCTGTCACATTTGTGGTAATACCTTCTGGAGACATAAATTGCAGGAATTCAGTTCAAAAAGCAATCTTAGCTACTACCAGGAACAAAGCCAGATGTTAAGTAGTGGCCTGGGAGATACAGAAAGGAGTGTAAGGACCTGATCCTGCAGTGACTGTTAAACACAGTGTCTGTCATATACACACAAGGTTGCCAATGCTTAGTAGCTTTCTCTTTACAACTTAGATGGTAAATCCTACCACATCCCAGCTGGAACAAAACAGTCCTTTTAAAAAGCAGTAGAGAAGGGGCATTCTCAGGGATGTTTAACAAAAAACAGAGATATTTTGGGAAGAGATTCTTTTCATTTTGGCAGAACACAGTGTTGGGAATACTTGTGAAATAAGAAAAGGATGAAGAGATGTAGCAACCACACACCCTAAGAACAGCCTTGGTTTGATATTCAGCAAGTTCTTTCATTCAAGCATTCATTTTGCTACCTACGTTACCTAGAAAAATGGGAGCTGGCCAAAACAAAATGCCCTGGCCCTGAACTATTTCAAACACTAGTCAAAAAGAACCAGCAAGCTGGGGAAAGGAAGACTAAGAATAAACCTACATGATAAGGCTTTGCCCCTAGAAACAGAAGCTCCTACCACCATCCATTCCCTTCCAAACAGATAGACTCAACAGAATAACTCACAAGAGCTCAAAAATCTCGCTGGTATTTAATGAGGGTACGTACCAATGCATATTGTGGAGTTACTCTAGACTAAACAAAGAGTGAATTCAATGTAGACTAATGAAAACTGTATTTCAAGCCTCTGTAGTTAGGCTTATTCACAATTAAAGCAGCTGTAATCAGCTCTAACATAACTCAATTTTGAAGAAAATTGAGTAAAATAGAGGCCACGCTGAATAACTACAGTACACAAAGGCAAGGACAGGCAGACAGAGTGAAATGGTGGTACCAAATCAGATCAAGCTTCCCAATTCTTCCATGCAAAGAGTTCCTAAATGAATTTGGATTCCTTTGTATTATTTAACTTGATCCATCAAGTACAGTTCTTACATCATGCACTGAAGGTCATTAGATTAGTCCTTAGGTTGTGCGTTGAAGGGCATTAGATTCTGAATATTGCAGTATGTGTTAGGAGGAGCAGTAGCCCCAAACATTTGCATCTCCCTAAAAGGATGCCCATCTAGGGTTGACTGAGTACATTCACCCTAGCTGCAGCAATGACAGCTGATCAAGGGAGACTTTGCCCTTGCCAAAAGGAGTGATGAGGGCCAACAAACCATACGAGATAAAAGGCTGAAACTCTTCCAGTACTGAGGACCGACTGCCAGATCCTGACACGTAAGACAACACCGCTCATTGCTGCTCACACCTGAGCTAGGACTTTAAACAAAAAAGCACAAAATAGGTGATTAATTTTACACATATAAGCTATACTATTAGACTCGGCACCCTGTGAACTCCTGCTGCATTGGCACTGAAGCTGTAATCCAGTAATTACAGCTGACTGGCCAGACACTTCCTCCACAAAGTGAGTATTCATAAAACTGTTAAAACTGACAAGGACTTTCAGCCTCAGATTCTGACTTCAGCCTTCCCAATGTAAATTTCCACTCACAAAATTGCCTTAATTCAATTTATGTTGTTCATTTTAGTTTCAAACCACCTACTTGCCACATAAATAGGCCTTACTAGCCTAGACTGACTAGTCCTGACTTTTACCGGTTAAAAATCAGCAGAAACAAGGGATTAAGGCAGGGGTCTGGAAAGAGTCCCCTACTGAGGCTTGGAATCTCACAGTCACTTTAAGAATTTTACAGAGTGAATTTTTCTTGGGGGCTGTGTGCCTCAACTCATTCTGTAGTTCCCAGGGGAGCAAAATGAATATGTGAGGCACAGCGAGGAACAGCCTTTTACAAAGGGATCACCAGCTCACCAAACTAAACCCCAGCTTCACCTCGCTCTGAGGTTTGCCGAACCTCAGGGTGAAGTCCTGGACTTGAGCAGCAAGATCACCTCACTTCCTAGTCTTCAGCTGAACAGGATCCAAAATATACACTAACACCTAGTACAGCAGGCACTCACTATTTCTGAAGTCCAGCTTTGAGTGGCATCAAATTACATTTTGATAAAATACACTAGGGATGTGGCTCCAGCCTCTGTTAAATCATGGACAGCTGGCACTTTATTAATCTTTGATTTCACAGCAGTCTCCTCATGCTGACACCTTTGCTTCCTGACATCTCAGCCTTTTGAGAGTTAATGATTGGCAAAACCAGTATTGCCAAATCTGAAGGACTTCATTTCCAATTTAAACCAAAATCAACCTCTTTACAATGTTTCCTGCCTACATTGATCTTTCTGCCCAGGACTTTCAGTCCCACCAGGGTAGACATTTGGAGCAGATAGCTACCAAAACTGAGTAAAAAATTATTCAAGGGTACATTGCAAAAGATGTCTTCACAAACCCCTTCCTCTTCTCTGAAGAGGTTCAAGGAAACCCACACCACCACTAACCCTTCCCTTCTTGCAGGTCTCATCTTCCAAGGACAGGTTAAAAGCACGGTCAGGAATGATCTAGCAGCTCCTTAGAGCTATCAAGGACTGATTCAAACATGACTCACATCTCATCCTCGTCAAGTGGGCAACTTCTGTAAGGAAGTAAGGACACTGTAACATGCATTGGAATAGCACCAGCACCTTAAGACAGCAAACACTGAAACAGCATAGCAGCTTAATACTCACGCTCAGCAGGAGGCACTTGTTTTCTTTGATGGCGCCTATGCAGCCCACGAAGCCAATGATCATGACAAATGTCCCTGTGACGATCAGTAGGTTGGCAGCTGACAGGGACGGGAAGGAAGAGGAGAGGGTGGCAAAGTTCCCTTGGGTAACAGCCAGCCAGATGCCTACTCCAAGGATTCCACAGCCTCCCAACTGGGAAAATAGAGAGAAACAAAGAAACTCAGTTATTGTATCCAAGCAACCTCAGGTATTAATCCACATCAATATGGTAGCAGTAGAACAGCCCTACAGTCACACCTAATAAGAAAGGTATCTTCCCTATGGCACTTTCAGTAGGGAAAACAGACAAAGGAGAAAGAAAAAAAATTCATAGAGGGGGAACTCATCAGTAAGACGTAACACTCAAGAAGACCCAGATTTCCTAAATCCAAGACACAACTTCAAATATCAGGTCTGTCTCTCTCTAGTGAAAAAGCAGACACTGAGTAAAGGAGAAATTCCCAAAGATTCAGATCTCAAAGGGATTGAAAAAAATCCATATCCTATTTATGTACCTCAGAGAGCTGCCCAGAATGTCGATCCCAATCCACTGTCTCCCATCTGTGGCACATGCCATAAACAAATCTTGCCAGACCATTCCCTGGTAAGACACCTCACACCTCTTCTTAGTTAGTTCCTGTCCAAGGTCTAGCCTCCCTTGGAAGCAAGAGAGCATTTAGACTGTAAAGGGGCCAGAGAAGGAGGGAGAATCCTCCTGTAACATTAAAAAAACCAAACACATGTTTACTCCTAATGTGGCCACTGGTTTGGTAATTCGATCCTCAGAACTGGACTTGGCTGGTTTAGGAAAAACTTGAGAGGGGAGCAGTAGTACAGGCTCCTCAAGCACGTCAGCAAGGAGAAGGGAGGATGCCAGTGCAGGCAGCAGCCACCACAAAAACATGAAATTTACAATTATTATATACACAAGGAACTTTTAAAAAACGTAAACATTTATAAGTGTGCTGCTTATAATTGCGAGAAAGCCTGCAGAATTGTAACAAACTGAGTAAAGCTGAGCAATTAAATGGAATTAAACCAAAGGGGATTTTGCATTATACAGTCACACAGCAGAGCATCACTTAGGTTTCTTTCTTTCCTGCTCTCCCTTTAAAATAATGAATTTTTATTGAGTTTTATAATTGCCCTTTATTATCCAAATCAATTAAAGGCTAGGAAAGAAATTGTGTTCATAGAGTAGTAAGCCAGACACAGGAGCATATCAATTAAATGTCTGCATAAAGTGGATGAACATAAGGCAGCTCATGAACCAGGGAAGGAAAAAGACAGAGCTAATCCTAGGGCAGAGCTAAGCCTCAGAAATGAAGCACAGAACTGCAACACAAAAGCCAAAGTAATTTCTTAATACTAATTGCTAAGGTTGCCTCTGCATGCCACTGAATTCCCCCTCAACAAGGGACAATAAAGGTGGCTGTGTCTCAAGGCAGGACTCCTCACCCCAGTTGCAAACCAGTCTATTTTGTTCAGAACTAAAGAGCCAAATTATACCTGATTGCAATGTACCTCAGCTGCATCAACCTGTGTGTCTCCACTGAGAGAAGGCAGACTCCAGGACACAGCAACTCAAATCATTTCATTCACCAGCCTTTTCAAATACAGGCATCCCATATCACCATACTGACCCTTTCGCAAAGCACCCTCTACGAGCACCACAGAGGGACAATCCATGCCCTGACGATATACACTGGAAATACCTCCCCTCTATGCCCACTTACGGACCATGATCTTTAACATGGTCTAAAATGATTGAAGAGTAACCAGGTGAGAGGAGGGGGAAGAATACTTAAAGAAGGTAACCCACAGAAAATCATTTAGGGTAACTGAGGGGATATAAACAAAAGCTATCAACATGGTCCACGGAAAAAAATTAGGAATAAATTCCCTAAAATGGGAATAAAACTCTGAAGGTCTACTGGACTACAAAACAGCATTGAAGGAGAGGTGGCAGACATCCAAGTTAAAACCGAACTGGTCAGAGCGCTGAAATACAGTCAGGAATACCACTAAACCGGCTGAGGAACGGGATGGAAAGCACAACTGCACTTCTGCCTCCACAGCCTGGTGGACATTCTGCCTCAAAATCAGCCTCGGAGCCGCAGGCACAGGGAGGCTGCACAAATGGCCCAATTAAGCCTAACGAAGGCAAATGCCCAGCAGCAGCAGAGGCATCACCTTGCAATAGGTTTAGCTATTATCTTCAGTTCTTTGTTCTGAAGCAATTCAACAGCACCAATAAGATGCAGCTTATTTTATCACCTTTCATGCTCCCCATGTTGCTACTCTGCTTTGACTGATACCGGCGCCTATAACTATCATTTGTATTATGGGAGGTGGGTTTCGCTGAGGACACTGCTGTGTTCGGTAAAGGCAAGACCTGCTTGCCTGCTCCTCCATTGGCCATTAAATTCTCTATGATGTACAATGCATACTGCTTAAGACATCGTTGCCCTTAGGACATTTGATTCCAGAGTCTTCTCCCTCCAAAGTCATTCTTGTCTGCAGAAACTGGGAATTCACCAGTGGTACAAAACATCACAAAACCAGGAGATGGTTCATGCAAAATGCTGCGGCTGCGGCTGTACCCATTTAGATCAGGGCTGAATATTTCGGGTCCACTGGTCAGCAGGAGTATCTCACTACATTGCCCTTGATTCAGAGATACTCTAATATACATCAGGCTCTCTAGCAGCTCGTTATCTTCGTATTTTTGAAGAGATAACGCACAGCTCTTCCTCAGGTTGACTAACCAAACCCTGAAATACACAAAGGGATCCTTTGAGCGTTAAACCATCTAGCTCAAACTGGATTTGACGAAGTGCTGCTTAGGAAATGTCAACACACACTACTGAGGGCTGCTCCACCTTAGTTCAGCCCTATTCCTTTTCCCACACCAGAACATCACCTCACGGCCCTTGAATAAAGTTGCTAAGCTGTCACACCAGGTCCTGGGAAACCGAGGCTGCCCTTAACTCTGGTCTAAACTGCTTTTCAAAGCCTCCTTTCCGCCAAGGAGTGAAGCACACCTCTAAGTCTCCATCCAACAACCATAATAACACTCAAGCACCTGGTTAAGGAAATGCTTACAGGAACCAACACCCACCAAGACAGCCACAGGAGCCTTTCCAACAATAACAGAATATTTTAGTTTCCAAACATTCAAAAAGCTCACTTGCCCCTCGCCTTCTGAACGGAACAGCGTAATTCCCAGTCTAAGATCCAAGGATCAGAGGGATCATGTTTATTTATTCTGGATCACAGCAAAGAGAAAACTGTTGCAGTTGGTTCTATGCTGCCTGTCTGTTTTGATTTCTTCATCTTGGTATCTAAGGAGCTGTTAAGTTACGGATAATTTTACTTAGTTATTTATGATGTTCCCTTTCCTCCACTTTTTCTCTCCCTACCCCCATCCCCAACGCCCAGTCCTTGTTTGTGCCAAACAGTCAGAAGCAGAGTGATGAGATGATAAGTCTTGACAGTTTTCGGGGTTTGCAGAGACGTGAAATTAAACAAAACCAAAACCATTAACAGGGCTACTCTTGACAATTTGGGGGCTTCCATGCAAACAGTGAAGCTGCAATGGTTAAAGGAGAAAACATTAGAACAAAAAGATTAGCAAGAAATCTACAGCTTGAACTTGATCTATTGGTAGCCAAAAATGAGTATGTATTGACTTCATGTGGTGAGTGCAGGGCTGACTTCCTAAAAAAAAAACAAAAAACAAAAAAAAACCCAAACAAAAAAAACCCACAAAAAACCAAAACCAAATCCCCCTCAAAGATGTCAGGCTACTGACAACCACATTTTTTTAATTCCCCTGTGAAATGTTTAACACATTATTTGCCTAATTGTTCACGATAATCCACTCTCTTGCAAGCAAGGCAGCTCATGGCAAAATCTGAAACAAAATGCAGCTTCCTCTAACATTCTTTTTTTCCAATAAATGTTGCATTTTTTTTGGTAAAATCTTTTATTCCAAGGCCAAAACAGTGGGACACCAGAAGGGATAGTGTCATAGCCCTAAGACTTAGGAGATTTGAGTTAAGTGTCTGTTCCAGGACAGATCTCAGTGTAAATCTCAAACAGGCTTTATATGTCTGTGCCTGAGTTGCAAAATTGTGAGTACAAAGACATGAGTAGTGTGTTCTTTGCAAGCCCTGGACTTTGCAATTGGCTATGGAAGGAGCAGTTTATTCTGCTCAAGACAAACTGCTCATAGGCATTTATACAGCAGAGTCAAGCAGTAAAGCAGGTGACTTACTCTAATAGCACACATTCAGTCTGTCTCTCCTTCCCCAAGAGATATACAGACACGTGTGCACTCGCCCTCTTGGCAAAAAAAGCTGCCTACGGAATTAGATCCTCCAAATTGTTCTAATGGGCTAGAAAATAAATTATTCAGACTTCAGTGCATACATTTAGAATTGATCTTGCAGTATGGTAAACAAAGTAATCCCAAACAGCCCTGGATATATGCATGTTGTTGGAGAAAATGATTCTGAAGTTACAGCTACACACTTAAAATACTGCAGGAGAAATTGCCTCATTGTTCATGATAATGGTGTTGGTGTCTTTAAGTGGTTTTTTTATTGGTTTTATTACATGGAAAATGCATCTAATTGAGGCTTCTTGTATCTGATTAGGATCTACCCATCGTACTTCTTTTAGATAAAAGAAATTCCTTGTGTATTAAAAAATACACTGATAACAGAATCCAAGTGGAAGGTATGACCAGTTGTTTTGTAGTTAAACTAACTCACTTGGAGGGTTTTTCTCCCCCAGTCTCCACATATTTAAACTAGAAGGGCTTTCTCAATCCCGCTTGCTATCCAGTTACTCTTGTGTGAATGTGCTTCCTCCTCTAACTATGGAGTAAGAATATACAATGGAAAAATCAATGTCGAAGTATTAATAGCAGTGATGCGAACATTATCCAGCAAATGTTCTTGTAATGTAAGGCATAGTTAAATTACTGTTCCTTTCAGCTAGACACGTAGTGGAGGTGGAATTGGAATACATATATGCATTGACAGGATCAAATGAATCAAGAACCTTACATGGAAAAAGCAGAAGCGTGTGTGCTAACAGAGAGACCATGGTGCTCTGTACAAGCACATGCAAACCACCTGCTCGTG